CTGGGAGTCGCTGCCACGTCACTATATGTATTTACTTGTGACTCCTGTGGGGGTCATGCAGAAGCTCCATATTCCTGGTGTCTACGCCGTTCTGCCCGAGATAAATTCGAGCCAGGGAGTCCAGGTCTGTAGATAGCGTTCCGTTGTTCCCCGCAATGAGGCTGTAAGCTGTTCCATGCCATGGATCTCCTCTACTTTCTCCATCCATTGTTGCAGTGTGGGGATTTGCGTGGTCTGCCAGCGGATCGGGATAAGCAATTTAGCTGCATTGAGGAGTTGTTTCGTGAGTGATTCCAAATTATATTCTACCAGGACTTGTATTTTAATTTTTTTTTATTCTTTATTTTTGCAGTACACGTAGTAACAATGGTGCCAATGTGGCCAAAAGAGCATAAGCAAGGAAATTATTTTAAAACAATGTTTACATATACTTGGCATATGAGGATGCAGCACCTTTTTCATTAATAGACATAACGGACAAGAACATGTCAGTAATATGGTCGTGTTAGTGTGCAAGTGAAGATGGTATACTGAGCATGAAACGTGGGTTGCGTTTATAAGTAGGACAGGAGGTAGGGAGGCCTGTATGGCCTGAGTGTGTCAGGTGGCTTCATTTTAGTCGTGTAGGTTTCCCTTTAGGTAAAAATGAAATTAAACCCCCTGAGGAGCTTCCAATCGGGAATGCTCCCGCATATAGTGGGTGTTAGCATGGAGTGGGGTCTGTGGCACTTGCTGTTGTGGGCATAAGGCTGAGCATGTGAGAGTGTTAAGGGATGCATCAAGAACCAGATAGTTAGCAGGTTACATGGCGTGTGCACAGATAGGAAATGCCCCTAACCAAGGGTGCTGCGGGGCTGTGTGTGTGTGTGTGGGGGGGGGGGTGAGTTGGTTGCGTGCCGCCGATCAGATTTACCGTTCTAGCTGTATGGGTGTGTGTGTAACGGACCGTTTTGCACACAAGTAGTTAAAAACCGTTTAGGCGATATTCCCCTGTTCAACCGCAGGTTAAAGCATAGAACTTAGTAGGGCTAACCATACAGATATCTTAGCCATAATTTTATATAGTTAGTAAGAGATCCTCTATTTAACATATATAAATAATTGAGAATACAATATAAAATAAGGATTGTCTTGGAAGCAATAGTTTTGTCTTTTGGATATTTATTATATAAAAATATAAATATAAAATCCATTATAGCAGAGTTTATAAGATTAAATTACATGCTTGCAAATATCATTAATAGGTTAACATACCCTTCTTAACATGTCATCATGTCAGCCTCTCTGTCATTTTAAGATGGAGCGGCGTCTGTCTCCAAGTCTCTCCTCTGTGTCTTAACATTTAAAAGTACACCTATTTATACCTTAGGTGTCTCCATTTTAGGGTTACCGTAGTTCATTTACTTTATTCATTTTAGGACCTCCCTTAATTTGGCAAACATATCTGTTGTTTATACTAAGTCGTAAGTGTACAGTCGTGGGAGATTTCCGGATTTGGGGAAGTTCCATTAACTTGGGGTTACCACAGTATATTGTGTACTGCAAGTGTCGTAGTATAGCCTTGAAGCTTGTTTATGCATTATTGTTATTGTAATTCGTCTGGGACAAAATGGCGCAAACATATTATACACTGAGGTTATTGCTTAAAGAAACATCTATGAAAAACAATATGTTCCATTTCTAACACCTTGTCAGTTTGCAATATCTCTTAAAGACAAGGTACACAGTTTAAGAAATACAACATTTCATTCTAAAACTTGTAATATTTGCATTTGCCCATTTCAGATGCACAGGCAGCTACTGTAAGCACCAATCTCCCAAACTGCAAACTACACAAATTCAACAATTCCCGAACAAGAAACACACGAATACTGGAAACAGACGAACAGGAAAAGCATACAATCAGCTTACACTCCTGGCAATCAGCATACAATCCAATTCCCCCAATAACGAGACGACACTTCGTTTTGAGGGTCAAGCAGGAACTGACAGAGCTGTGGGTTTATTGTTCTTATATACACATTAGTACCACCCACAGGGTTTTGGAAAACAACCAATAAACACGTACAATACACTCCGACACTCCCACACAAAATCCTCCCCTCTGCCTGTGATACAATTACCTTACACAATGGGTAATGTAATTATCACAGGCAGAGAAATACAGTTTTTCCACATTATTCATAACTTGAAAAGTATGCATCACATTCACATAAAACTTACATTTTCAGAATCAGCATACTCCAAATACAAACATATGACAAAATCATCCAACTTGGTCCATTGGTTCAAAAGATAGATCAAAGTCCTTTGTGACCAAATAAAGCATGGCTTTTCTGCCCAAAACCAGTTCCACAGAGTCTTCTATCCTGGAGATAATTGGGAAGTAATCCAATTATCTCCAAGGACAGAGACAAAACTCCATTAAGCACATGGCAGTAAAAAGACAGTAAAATACAATAAAATACACAAGGTTACATTTATTACATAAAATACAGACATGCAACATATCCCCAGATAGCTTAGATCTGAGTGCACATTATTACTGAATGGCGCTCAGACCACACACATACAGTTCAATCGCCATGGAGC